ATGATGACTGGCCGTGTGCTGCTGGTGTGTGCCCTCTGCGTGCTGTGGTGCGGTGCCGGCGGCAGATGATGCCGTTGGCAGTGCGGTTGAGTATTCGCTCTTGCGGTGGCGCGCTCAGCTGCGGAAGGGATGCGCGGAGGAGGTCGGCAGGAGCACGGGAGGGAAGGCGAATGTGTCCGCCGTTGGGGAATGCCTCCGTCAAGGGATGGACGGTGTGCGTGCCGTTGTGGATGGCCGTCGTCGTTGGAGGCGTCAACACTCTGCCGTGGCTGCTGCTGCTGATGGTGGTTCTGGTAATGATGAGGATCATCGCGAAGAGAACGACGACAAATTGAAGGGATTATCTTTTTCAGGCCAGACGTTGCAAGCCGAAAAGAAGAATCCAGCAGGAGGACGGGAAGAACTTTCAAAAGTGCCGGGAGGGGAAAATAATTTGAAAGCAGACAAGAGTGAACCGAATTTCGAAAAAGACAAGGCGACTTCAGTCGTCAACCCCGCCAATCCAACTGGAATTCAAGAGTTGGCAGACTTGCCATTGACTGTTGCGGGTGGCAGTCAAAATCCAAAACACGCTGAGCATGGACTTTTCAACGCCAATTCAAGGCTTGTGGGCGGCGTGTCAAAAGACGGCCAAACAGAAGGTGAAAATGGCAGGGGAAATCAACCACCACCACCACCACCACCAAAAGAAGGCACAGAAGCGGGGCCATCAAAGCCTTTAGGATTAACTGAGAAACGGACACCAATTCCAGTGGAAGAAAACTTAAGGCCGCGAGACGGAAGTCACTCACACAAAAGGAGATGCTTCAAAAGAAAGATTCTTCAGAGCACGAAGAGGGAGAAACAATTTCCTCGGGTACACGGCGGAGTGCATCCAAAGAAATTCCAGAAGCTACAACTCCATTATCCGCCTCCAAATCTGGCAGCGGTATTGCCGGAAGCACGGTGGGGAAGGGTGGTGTTAACAATCCTCAACCTCCTGCCGCCTCAGTAACACAACATAATTCCGCGGGAGATACTGGCCCCGCTGCCCTGCCAGCCAGCACCAGTGAATTGCAAGCAGAAGAAATACCCAACGCTGGTATAATTGCCAAGACAAATGATGACGACAGCGACAGCAGCCCTGCGGCTTCTACTGTTGAAAGGCCTACCGCTGGCACAAGAAGCACCCAAGCCTCTGGTGATGCGAGTGACCTTGAACAGTCTAATAACGACGACGTCAATGATGACGTGGCACACAAGGATAAGACTGTGGAATTTGAAACCGCTTCAGGAAACAGGGACATTCAGGCAGATAATGATGAGAGATACACAACAGTACCAGAAAACGCCACCAATAAAACAATCAATACAGAGATCACAGCCGACAGTGACAGCAGCACCGCGGTGTCGCACACCACCTCCCCTCTTTTGCTTCTTGTTGTTGTTGCTGCTGCTGCGGTGGTGGCCGGGCCTGCATGAAGTGGTGTGCGATGAATGTGAACAAAGGCCTACGGCAACTGAACTGTTTTTTTGGTGAATATTGGCTGCACTTCCCGTGGACCAACAATCCGCGTGGTGTGCGGGGATCTTCTTTTAATTGTTACTATGCTTTTGTGTTGCTGTGTGCGCTGCACCTTCTTGTGTGTGTGCGCACCCTCCGTGAGGGGTGCAGACACGACGGACCGCTCTCGCCGTATGTGCATGCGGTGGAGCCTTGTGTGCCGCTCCTGTTTGCTTCTCCCTCTTCCATCTGTGTGTGTTGGTGTTGCGGCAGGGCTGTGTGTGTGTGCCTGCTGCCGTGGATTGGAGTGTGTGGTGCGTGGTGTGCGGCGTACGGTGCATGCCTGGCTGCTGCCCTCTCCTCATGTGGTGTGCCCTCTGTGTGTCTGCCGCACCTCTCGTCTCCCCTGTTGCTCTCCATGTCCCTCACTGTGCAGATCAGCTCCACACCACTGAACGACCACACTCACGATGATGATGACGTGCCGTCTGCTGTGCGCCCTGTTGGTGCTTGCCCTGTGCTTCTGCCCGTCCGTGTGCGCGACAGCGAGTAGTCAGGATTCAGGTGGGGACGGCCCCACTTCTTCGGTTACTCAGTCACAGGGAACAGGTGTTTCAGGGGTAACAAATACTTCCACGACGTCAAGTTCAGCAGCTGCGGCCGTTGCGTCATCGGGAAAAAGTGGAAAGTCCGATGCGCAAGGGGCTCCAGGTGCGGAAGAAGCTCTGCCAGAAAATCCAAGTGGGGCGACCGCTCTGGCAGGAAGTCCAGGTTCAACAAGTCCGGCGCCTATTAAAAAAGAGAGTTCAGGTGGATCCGGCAGTTCAGGGGGTCCAGTTCCGGTGGCCGATACGGTACAGAAAAATGGCGAAAACGATGCGAGAGGCTCAAAAAGTGGCAATAATCCATCCACACACCATGCGAATACGAATGCCGACGATTCGGCCAAGAAGACCACGGCGGCTACTACCACTACTACGACAACCACGACGACCACCACTACAACACAGCCACCAACCACGACGACCACCACTGCACCAGAGGCACCAACCACTACGACTACAGAGGCGCCAGCTGTGTCGACCACCAGCGTACCGTCGCGTCTTCGCGAAATCGACGGCAGCCTCAGCAGCTCTGCGTGGGTGTGTGCCCCGCTGGTGCTCGCCGCATCAGCGCTGGCGTACACCGCTCTGGACTGAAGAGGTGTGTGCGGGCTGTGCGTGCCAGCACTCAGCCACGGGGATTTGTGCGTGTGTTGTTCACTGTATAAAATAAGAGGAAATAATGATTGTGTTTTGCTTCACTTGCTTCCGCTGCCCTCCTGTGTGCTCCGCGTTGTTGCCTCCGTATCAGTCACTTGGCACGCATTCCAGACACACTCGTACGTAATACACGCATACAACTGTTTCGTGGACGCATGTTTGTGTGAGTGCATGCACACTGGAGCCATTCTTTGCAGTTCTTTGTTTTTGTGTTTTTACCCTTTCTTACTTGTTTTCTCGTTTTTTTAAATTGATTTGTGTCTGTTTTTTTTGCCTATAGTTTGCTGCAGGGCTGTGTGTGTGCATGCATTTTTTGACCCCTCACTGATTCCAACTGCCTCATGGTGTGTGCTGCTTCTGGGGTGCTCCTAGTTGTCACTTGTTGCTGTGACGTGACTGTTTTTATGCCTTGTGTCTCTTTTTGCTTTCACTCTGCGTTGACGGGGAGTTATTTTGTGCTGAAGGCTGCACGCAAGTGACAGGAGTGATGATGGCGATGATGATGGCTGGCCGTGTGCTGCTGGTGTGTGCCCTCTGCGTGCTGTGGTGCGGTGCCGGCTGTGTTTTTTGTGAGAAAGTTTCGCCGGATGGCTTCTGCGATAAGAAATCTGTGGAATTGAGTTCACTGGCAAATAAGACTGATGAAGAGCTTAAGGAGAAATGCTGCAAAAACGAGGATGATGAAACAACTTGTGTGAATACGTTGAAGAACAATATTTCAGATGCGATGAAGAATGAAAAGACGAAGGAAGACAACGCAGCTGACAGAGATCCTAAAGTTGCGCATGTTTCGGGAGTGCCAGTTGGCAGCTCAACAACGAAATCTTCAACGGCTGCTGGCGTGAATAATGCCGGAGTGTCTCCTCCTATTACCCCTCCTTTAAAGGTGGAAGGTGATGTCGATGCCAAAGTCCACAGCCCAGCAGGTGGTGCTAGCCACCAGCCGCATTCCGATGACGGCCGCAGTGAAGCAGAGAGAAGTCATCACTCAGAGGCGGAGGGATCGAATCAACACAGCGTGGGCGTGCAAGGCGAAACGATCCACAAGAAAGAAGAAAAAACACCAGAAACAGGAGTGAATTTCACCGAAGCACGGGATGGCACGGACGGAGCACCACCACCATCACAGGATCCACCAAATACGACTGAATCACATGAGGATAAATCCCGGAGAGTGACTGCACCCGACACAACTCCCGCACTGAATACATCACCAGGCAGCAACCAGGAACAAACATCCCAGTCCTCATCTCCCAGTGGCAGTGACACCACCGGCAGCCTGGATAAAGAGGACCCAGAAAAAAACTCCAAAAATGCAGAAATATACGATGCCCCACTGAAAGATGAAGGACAACAGCGTGAGAGTACAGCTGGGAATGAAGACGCAACAACAGTTGAATCTGCCGCTGAGCAAAGTAATACGACGGCACCTCGCGACAGTGACGGCAGCACCGCGGCAGCTGCAGCTGTGCAGCCTGAAGATGGAATGGAAAGTAATCCGGCAAAGAATGATTTGAGCCCACCATCCACTGAGGTCGCCGCAGAGCTCAGCACGGCTCCTGATGCTGAAGGCGCATCAAACAGCGAGGAGAATACGAACTCTCAGAGCGTAGGAAATCCAAATGTAACAATCGCCACCGCCACTCAAAAAAATCATACGACGAAGCCTGGCGACAGTGACGGCAGCACCGCGGTCTCCCACACCACCTCCCCTCTTTTGCCTCTTCTTCTTGTTGCTTTTGCAGCTGCTGCTGCGGTGGTGGCCGCGTGAGAGTGAGGGAGAGAGAGCCATGCACCGCCCGCACACACACTCTTCCTTCTCTCTCTGTGTGTGTGTCCCCTTGCATGGACTCTCGCCCTCACCTCACTCCACGAGGCACACACAATAATGTGCCCATTGTATATCTGCATGCACACCCATGCAGGCCCGTTGGTGCTCTCTTTTGCACGACACGCACCGCTGCCGTCCTGCCTGGCTGCATGGGCGGAGCACCGTAACTGTTTCTTTTTTGTTTTTATTGCATTGAGTGGGCGACCTCTCTCTCTCTCCCTCTGTGTGTGTGTGTTTTGCTTTACGGGAGTAATGAGAGTGTGTGCGCTGGTCGTCCCACGCTTCGGCTTTTTGTTTTGTTTTCCTTTTTGATTTTGTGGTTGAGTGCACCCATTACGATGGCTGCGTGTGTGTGTGTGTGGTGATATGAGTAATTTGCGTGTGTGCTATCTGCCTCTCTCTGTTGTTGCTTTCTTCCGACTCTCTTGTGGCGCACAGCTGCTCTGCGTGTATAGACGCTGCCAAACACACAAGCACACACACGCCATTATGCATACTCTGTAGAGCGATGTGATTGCTGAGAACGCACGCAGAGGATTCTGGCTGCGACGTCCCTTGCGAGGAGGGAGGACGGGAGACCGCGATGTGTCTTGTTGATGTACTAAGGGCGTTATACTGGAGGCGTGCAGGAAGTGAATTTTGTGGCATTGGGGATGCCTGGGACAACTGTTGATTGATTCCCGATCAGCAGCTGTACGTGCCGACATGTATCTCCCATGCTGTGTATACTTTGGTCAGGGATTCTTTGCCTGTGTGGGTGATGTGCGCCGGCGGCGGAGCGGGTGTGACGGAGGAGACAACGGTGAAATAACTGGCGGCGGTAGCGCGTGGGTGCTGCGGAGGGCGGCTGTGCCCTTTTGCCTCCCGCTGGTTATTTTTTGTGTTTGGGCGTCGCCTGGTGTGTGCCGACGCGTGGCAGAAGCGCCCGCCGTGGCTCCTGCTGGTGGTGGCAGTCGCTGTGTGTTCCCGGTGCGGTGATCTCCCTTCTGCTGTTCCGTGTGTCTGTGTGCGTGAGTTGTTGTTGTTGGGAGTGACTGTGGCGGGGATGATGATGGTGCCACTCACTGTGGATGGGTGGCGGTGCTTGCTGTTTCACCTCTTTACTTGGCTTGTTTTCTCTTTTCTCCGCCTCACGCACGCACACGCTAGGAAGGAAGTTACGACTAAACGCTAATCGCCACTGCGAAATTGTAAGGCACTGAAAGGACCAACAGCACACACACCGCCCACACACATATTTGTATGCTCTCACGTGTTGCTGCAGTGGAGACACCCCGCACACACAACCGTCGCGGCGTGACCGGATCCAGCGGAAGGAGGAGGGAAGGAGGAGAGAGTGAGCCGCAGAGGCCCAACATGTCCCGGCGTGTGTTTGCTTCCGCGGTGCTCCTCCTCGTCGTGATGATGTGCTGCAGTACTTGTGGAGGTGTGCAAGCTGATGAGAATCTGCCGGCAGTTCCAAGGTATCAATTGGAGGACATTGCTGATGGAAATCTGGAGTCGTTTGGAATTCCCGGCCTTTTGAAAGTGGGGAGTGACGTATTTGCCGTTGCCGAGGCGCAGTGCAAGAAGAAGGATGGAGAAGATGCCTTTACTGGCATTGCATCCCAACTTCTCACGATAAAAGACGATAACACACCGGAGGAAGCGCCTAAGGTTGCCAGAGTGATACGAGTTCTGGAGAAAAGCACTTCCACAAGCAAGAAAGTAGATGTGAGCCGACCGACAGCAGTTGTGGATGGAAATGATATTTACATGCTTGTTGGAAAATACAGCCGGAATGCTGGTGCTGGTGCTCGGGAGAGTGGTGCCGATGACTGGGGACTTTTGCTGTTGAAAGGGGAAGTCAGTGCTCAAGGAGATGACAGCGAAAAAAAAATCCTTTGGAAGGAAGCGGACGGTCTACAGTGCACTATGGGCGACAAACACGAATCCTTGAGGCGGCTGATTGGCGGCGGTGGATCGGGTGTTAAGACGAAGGACGGTACGCTTGTGTTTCCCGTAAAAGGCACGCAGGAGAAAGTTGGGCAGAAGGAAGCTGCGGGTGGAAAGACTTTCTCACTGCTCCTTTACACTTTAGATACTTCGAAGAACATTGTGACTTGTAAGCTGTCGAAGGAGATGTCTGCCGATGGCTGCAGTGATCCCTCCGTCGTGGAGTGGAAGGACAAACTCATGATGATGACTGCGTGTGGTGATGGCCGCCGCAGGGTGTACGAGTCCGGCGACAAGGGGGAGTCGTGGACGGAGGCACTCGGGACACTCTCGCGCGTGTGGGGCAACAACAAAAAGGAGGGAGAAGGGAAGGCCGTTGGGAGCGGGTTCACCGCAGCGACAATTGGTGTTGGAGATGATGAGAAGAATGTGATGCTCGTTACTCTGCCGGTGTATTCCAAAGAAAATAAAAAGGGCGAACTCCATCTTTGGCTGACGGACAATACGCACATTGTTGATATTGGGCCGGTATCCGGGAAGGACGATGACGCTGCCGCCAGCGCCCTGTTGTACAAAAGTGCTGGAAGTGGAACTGATGATAATAATGATGGTTTGGTTGCACTGTACGAGAAGAAGAAGGTCGGTGATGAAAAACCATCGCCCGGTATGGTCTCCGTGCGTCTGACTGCGCAGCTGCAGCGTGTGAAGGATGTGCTGGCGACCTGGAAGGAAGTGGACAAAAGTGTCTCCCAGCTGTGCCCTTCTGAGGGTGCTGTGCAGGCTCCCTCAACTGACAGTGCCTGCAAAAACAATAAGATCACGGCTGGGCTGGTTGGCTTTTTGTCCGGCAACTTCTCTGATGGCACATGGAGGGACGAGTACCTCGGGGTGAACGCCACAGTAAAGAAGAATGATGTGGCGGAGCAGGTAAAAAGTGGCGTGAAGTTCACAGGGCGTGGTGCGTGGGCGGAGTGGCCCGTTGGCAGTCAGGGGGAGAATCAGCCGTACCACTTTGCGAACTACAACTTCACTCTTGTGGCGACGGTGTCCATCGACGGTGTGCCGACGCAGGAGGGTCCCATTCCAGTGATGGGTGCGATATTGAAGGATGCCGAGAATCCAGTACTTCTTGGACTGTCGTACAACAACAAAGGAAAAAAGTGGCATGTGCTGTGCGATGGGAAACCGACGGAGGTGCAAAACCACATTGAGGGGCAAGAGAAAACACACCAGGTGGCCATTGTGCTGCAGAACGGCACTCAGGGCTCCGCGTACGTCGATGGTAGGCGTGTGGGAGATGTGCAATGCCAATTGGAGAATACGAATTCTAAAGGGATCTCCCACTTCTACATTGGAGGGGACGGAAGCAGCACAGAGGGCCAAGGAGGCGTGTCTGTGACTGTGAGGAACGTCCTGCTGTACAACCGCCCGTTGGATGGCAATGAGATTACTGCTCTTAATGCAATTAAAGCCCCGATTACGCCTCCGAAGGAAACAAGTGCGCAGGAAGTCGTGTTGCCTTCTCCTGGCAGAACACCGCATGCGGGACAGGAAGCTTTGAATGGAGGTGAAGGTGCTGCCGGTGGAAGTGCATCCCCATCAGCAGTGTCCGCTTCAACGACTTCCGTACCTGTGGGGCAATCTGTGAACCAACTCGCGCCAGGAAAGCCTCCCGATGGAAATGCAGATGTGGATGGCGCTCCCTCGTCTAGCGGTAACCCGACGGTGGGGGAGGGGAGTGCAGATACGATACAGGGGGATGGACCGCACACACCTTCCGTGGGTAATACCGCTGCCGCCGCCGATACAAACGTTCTTGCCGCTGAAGGCGAGGGGCACGATGGACCCGCATTGACAGCTGATGTGAGCGCGAGCTCTGGTGCGGATGGGGAGACGGCAGGAGGAACGGATGGGCAGGAGCAGGAGATCAATCCACAGAACGGGGAAGTAAAGTCTGCGGCCCTCAGCAGCAGCCTCGGAAATTTGTCGCAGGGGAATAACAGCGATGCGTGCACTGTGCGTGAGAGCGGACTGCTGCCGCTGCTCCTTCTGTTGTTGGGACTGTGGGGGTTTGCGGCTGCGTGAGGCGTGACTGGCTGCCGCGTGGGACAACTTGCGACCTCCCCAGCACCGACACACACACACACCTGGTAATTAATTTCTCTTCTTTAATAATTTTTATTTACTTTTTTCCCTGTTTTTGTTGTTTTAATTTTTTACTCCCTTCCCTTCTTTCTTTTGGCTTTTGGGGCAATCACTATGGACGTTTTTTTTTTCTTTTCTACTGTTTTAATTGTTTGTTGCTGCACTCTTCCTGTGAGGGGTGCCGTGTGTTTCTCGCCCAACTGCTCCACTCGCACACCACCGACACGCTCATGACGACGGCCCCGTGCGCCTCGCCTGCTGCACGCATGAGGAGGGGCCGCGACGAACGGCGCGCTGAGGAAGCCGTGACGTGTGGGCGTGCGACGAGGGCCTGTGGGGCGGAGCACACATTTCTTCCCTCTTGTTTTGTTTTCTTTGCGGCCAGGGCGGGCAGACACCCGCAGCGCCACACACCCTGCCGCCGTGTTTTTCTTTATTTTTGCTTTTGTGTGAATTTCTTGCGCCGGCAGAGCCTTCGGGGTCTTTCTTGTGAGCATTTCTTTTCCCTCTGATGATTTTTTCTTTTGCTGCGCTCACTCTCCCGATGGAGTGACGCGACTGCCGTCGTGTCTGCGTGCTTCTCTCAGTCCCCACACACACGAGTGACTGTGCTCTGCGGGCCGCACTCACGCGCCGATGGGAGGGCTGAGGGGAGCAGCAACACGCCGATGACCCCATGAAATATAAACGATGTGCGGACACACGGAGGTCGGACGGTTGAACGACATTTAAATATCTTTTAATTTTCTTTTCGGACAAAATGTACGCAGACAGTTTGGTGTGGCCACACAGCAGCCGGCTGTCTTTTGTTAATTTGTGCGGAACAGTAATGGACGACTTCTTTTTTATTTATAATTATTTTGTGTGATGGGGTTTACATAAGACGAAGGGGAACGTTCTTTTTTTGTTTTCAATAAATCTTGTGTGAATTGCCGCTGCCTGGGCAGCGGCAATTCATGAGTTTGAGCGGTCTTCTAGTTGTTTCTGCCATGCGTCTCCGCTGTACATTTTTGTGTGTCTCTCCGCATGCTCTGTTCCCTTTTTTCCACGTCTTTGTTTTGTGTTTCTGCAGGCACACACAACCACACACACAAGATGCACATTGCAGCGGATTTGGATGCTTCTTTTGTAGTGCATGCTGGTAGTTGCGTGTGGCGGCTGTTGTCTTCTTCCGTGGCCATGAGGAGGAGGGAGGTGGAAGGAGTTCGCAGCCCGACTCTCTTTTCCTGCGGGTGTGATGCACTGCGTGTGGCTGCGTTGAGTTGGGCTCCAAATCCCATTGAGGGCGGGATGGCTGTAGGTTTTTGTGCCGCGTCATGGATGGATGAGGGTTCGCTTGCTCCGTGTGAATGTGTGGTGGGTGCTCGCTCCGTGTGCGTGACGGCTGCTGGGATTCCTGGAGATGTATCTGGTGATGCGGATGCGGTGGTTGTGCCGGTGGATGTGTCGTGTGCTCCGAGTGACGGCAGCCTGAGCTATCGCGTGTGTGTGTGTGTGTGGAAGTGTTCCGCTGCCGGTGCTGAGGCTCAGCATGAGAATTACACTTTCAGTGGCTTTGATGTGCGCATGCATAGCAGGAATGGTGAGCTGGGTGCTGTGTGTCATGTAGCTAATGCGGCGCACACATGTAGCAGCTGTGCTGCCAGCTGTGCAACGGAAGAGGAAGGGGCCACCGTTGCCTTCACGATGAATGTGACGACGCATAAATACGCCGGCCCTTATGAATTTTAGTGTCGCCAATTTCCCCCCGATGGAGCCATCCATCCGCCTGCACGGAGCGGCGATGCTGACCGGACGGGCATCTGTCAGTTGCCGCCACCCCGTGAAGGGAAGGATGGCACAAAATATGGTGGGACAACTGCGCCGCAAGTGAATGCTGAGCCGTCACGTCAACACGAGGATTGGCGACGGTCTGCGGCGGCTGACGGACCCAACACCGTCGATCCGAGTCCCGCATCCAACGCGGCGACCAACACGTCCGAGACGAGGCCTGAGTTTGCCACCAATCCGAACGAAATGATGGTCCCGAATGCGTCCAAGAAGAGGCCTGAGTTTGCCAACGGTCCGAGAATATTAGTGGCGTTGAATGCATCCGGGATCATGTCTGTCACTTGTGGCGGCAGGGAACACGTTGCTGCGGATAACACGGACGAGGTGAATGAGCGCAGTGCCACTGGACACAAGAATCTCGTTTTAGAAAATACCGTTGCAGGCAGTGGATTTGTTGCTGAGGGTGATGCGTACGGATTGACTCAACGTAATGCCTCTGGACACGATAACAGACCCCTATTACAAAAACTCACCGCGCAGTATTCCGGGAGCGGTGGGAGTCCACACGACTGCTTTGCCCTGCGCGACTTCGCGAAATTGACACTGCGAGAGTTAAATGTTGGCGGCACTGTGCGTGTGCGTGTGTATTGGGTTTTGCTGCTTCTTCTGGGGTTGTGTGGAGTTGTGGCAGTCTTGTGAGCCGAAGAGTGTGGAATTGCGACTTCTCATGGAGAGCATATGCCGCGTTGCATGCGTGTTTTCTTTTATTATTTATATTTTACTTTGTTGGTTTTGTTGTTTTCCTGGAATAATGAAGATCTTTGCTGTTCCTTTATTTAATGGTCGGTTGCTGCACACTGTCACGAGGGACGTGTTTTCCCCTCTTGTTTCCTTTTTGTTGCCCACACGCGGTGCCGGCCTCATTGCTGTGCGTCCCACGGACTGCACGAAAGGAGGAGTGGAGGAGCAGGCCGGATGCCGCAATGAAGTGTGAGGAGTGTTTTGTGGGCTTACGGAAGTGCACAATCTTTTTTAATTTTATTCAGTGCGGGCAATATGTATACACAGAAACACATGCTCTTATTTTGCCGCTTGGCGCATAAATTAGAACACCGGCCGAATGAACTTTCTTTATTTTTTTTTGAGTCCTGCCGGACGCTCAACTCTGTTTTTCCCTGCTCAGCTTCTGGCTTGCGGTGCGGTGTGCGAGCTCTGCAATTGTACTGATTCCAACTGCCTCATTTTATTGTGCGTTGCTTGGGTGCTGCCATTTGTTGCTGTGGCGTGGCTGTGTGACTTGTCTCTCTCCTTTTGCTTCCGCTCTCCGCTGAATGGGACTTATTTTGCGCTGAAGGCCACACGCAAGTGGTAGGAGTGATGGCGATGATGGCTGGCCGTGTGCTGCTGGTGTGTGCCCTCTGCGTGCTGTGGTGCGGTGCTGTTTTTGGACACGCGACGGAAGGTTACTGCAGTGAGGGTGGAGGGAGCGGTTTAAGGCACACGAGTAATGGTGGAGATGATGGCGTTTCTATAAAAGCGGACTGCGGGTTGTTATCCACTCGAATGGGGTTAATAAATGCGGTTGAAGCTGCGGATGAGGGAGGATTGGGCGGTGATGCAGGTTCATCTCAGGATAAGTCGAAGGAATCATTGCAGGATAAGAAATTGAGCGGTAATACGGAGGGCGATGCAGCGCTTGGCTCAGGGGGAGTTGTTGTCGCAGATCCACCACCACCACCAGCAGCGGCACCACTGCAGAAGCCCGGAGAAAGAAATACAGGAGAGGAGGGAAAACAAGAAGAGTTGGATAAAAAAGGAAATGAAGCAGAGGATAAGAGCAGAGGCGAACCTGGTCCCCCAAAACCAAAACCTGAACAATCCTCTTCATCAGCATCTGGCGGCCCTGGCACTCAGAGTGATGTGGAACTCGCTTTGGAGGTTACTTCCGAGGGTAATAAATTCTCCGATGACGCGCTGAAACAAGAAGATGCGGGTAAAACGGAAGTAACAAAACTATCGGACGGAGAACCAGAAAAAGGCAAAAGTAATATGGCACTCACGGAGACACATGACAGTCAAGCGGAACAGAAAGAAGCACAACTACCAAAACCACCAACACTACCAACAACACAAGTGAATGAACATTACAGCCCTGGAGATACCGTGGCTAAGCAACAGCTAAAAAAAACCCAAAGTGAAATGGACCCAAACACCAATTCACAAACAAAGAGCGCTGTTACAATCACAGCCAGTCAGCACAATGAACCATCTGCCGACCATGCAGGATCAACGACACCATCACCCGCGGCAAGCGGTGATGCCGCCAATAATGAAACCGACAAGACCACTGAAGACGGCATCCCGAAGAATGATTCAGCAGCTGATGGTGAAGAGAAACGAGAGGAAAAAAGAAATGAAAATATGAATGCCAATCCGAGGGAAACACCGGTTGAAGCCGCAGCCATGAAACCCACAAAGGCGACTACAGATGACAGTGACGGCAGCACCGCGGCCTCCCACACCACCTCCCCTCTTTTTCTTGTTGTTGCGTGTGCGGCTGCGGTGGTGGCCGCGCGAGAGTGAGGGAGAGAGAGCCGTGCACCGCCCGCACACACACTCTTCCTTCTCTCTCTGTGTGTGTGTCCCCTTGCATGGACTCTCGCCCTCACCTCACCCCGCGAGGCACACACAATAATGTGCCCATTGTATATCTGCATGCACACCCATGCAGGCCCGTTGGTGCTCTCTTTTGCACGACACGCACCGCTGCCGTCCTGCCTGGCTGCATGGGCGGAGCACCGTAACTGTTTCTGTTTTGTTTTTATTGCATTGAGTGGGCGACCTCTCTCTCTCTCCCTGTGTGTGTGTTTTGCTTTACGGGAGTAATGAGAGTGTGTGTGCGCTGGTCGTCCCACGCTTCGGCTTTTGATTTTATTGTTTTACGTGTGGTTTGGTTGAGTGCACCCATTTCATTGCCCTTTTTATTTGATTTGTGGCTTGCTTTGACGGTGGACGCCTAAATTGTTTGCTTTTTGTGTATTATTATACTGTTCCTTTATTATTGAGAGAGTGTCAGCCTCTTGTATTCTTGTAGCGCCACTGAGTTTTTTTTTCTTTTACATACGCCATGCGTCATTTGATTCACGTTACTCTGCGGCCTGCATTGCTTTTGGTTCTGCTTGTGATGATGTTTGTGCTGTGATTTGTCGGCGGGTGTCTTGCTGTCAGTCTGACTTATCCTTCGTTCCTTGACGATTTGTTGAGTACTGACGGTGCGTGGGCGTCTCTGGTGATAGTGAGGGCCGCATGTCTCAGAGCGCAGGATGCGTCGCGGGTGTGCGGCGTCGTTTGGAAGTACCGATGGGTGACCATCCGCATCCAGGCGTCATCAACGGACTGTGAGGGCAGCAGGAGGCACTGCGGCTTCTTTTGGCTTTGCACAAAGAGTTTATTGGACGGTGCGTTTGTTTTCAATCTTTGCAGCTTTTGTGGGGAAGGTGGGAGGCTGAGTGCATTAGGACTGAATTCATTTGTGTGGCTGCGTTCCGTTGACTTGCGGCCAGTCGTGGCACTCTTTTGGGGTCTGGCAGCCCGTCTCTTTTTTACTTCCCGTCGCAGCTCGTGGAGGCCAATGATCCGAGGAACATTTATTTGACTGCGTGTGAGCCGCTGCCGTGCGTGGTGCATGGACTATGTGATTGTGTGGGGAGGTGCATGGAGTGACGAATACTTCTGTTTGGCGTGTCGCGGTGTGTTGGAATGATGTTCGGAAAACATGTGGAGGGTGTTGTTTGTGATTTGTGTGTCTTCTCTGGTGGAGCCGACATGTGTGCGGGGATTGTGGCATTGCTGGCTGACAGCTCCACGTCAATTTTCAGCATTCCTGGATGTGCTGAGGAATGACGGCTGGCGACCAGCGTGTTGGTGCTGCTGGTGGGAATAAGTGCATCGGGAATAGGCCGTTTTCTCTTTTCCGTGCTGGAGCCGATGAACTGGCACGAGGACACCGGCTGCAGGCTGGCTGCCAGCACGTGTGAGCAGCGGATGCATGCACACACCGACGCTCATCGCAAGAGCTTGTGCGATCACGGTGGCCTTTTGTGGCGTGCTTTTATGGGCGTCAGTCCATCTAAGAATGTGTGAAGCAAACGGCTGACTGCACACGAGGGAAATAAGTGCGTGCACCGTGCCGTGTTTCAGCGTCGATGGCAGAGCGGCATGAAGCCCGTGCTGGCAACTGAGATCTTTGCGTCGCGAGGGATGTCGGTGTTGATTTTGGATCGTCGGGGGTGAAGTGATTTTGCTGCTGCCCGTGTGTGTGGCCACTCCGGCAGAGGGCGGACACAACAGGGAGGGATGCAGGCGCTGCGTGTGTGTGCAGGTGCCATGCAACAACGTCACAACAAACATGCTGCGACTCGGTGACCCTCACATCGTTGTGGTCCTCACGAACAGCCGAGGCACGGCCCACATCGATGCATTTAGTGGACAGAGTGAGGCATCTTTTGAGGTGATGCAGGGAGCAGGATGTGTTGACGCAGCCACGACGTGCATGGAGTGTCACGATGGCACAGCCGGCTGTGGCTGGTGGAATATTTACTTCTCGGAGGCAACAGAGAGAAAGAGAGCTGCTGGCGTCGTTGCTGCCTTTTGTGGCCTACCATGCCGATTATTGTCTGTCCGCTGATCATGGGCAGCATGCCTCCACTAGTGACGTCGTCTGCAGGCATTTCACAGCACCAGTGAAGCACACATCACGTCGCATGCTTTGGCTGTGGGTATGGTGTCGTGCATGCAGCCGGCATTATTTTGCCCGACTCCCTTTCACTGCCTTGCGACAAATAGATGCGTCTCCGCCCGAGTTATTCACTGCAGCTCCGTGTGTTGTGCTGCCAGCACAAGACTCTCCTGTTGTCTGACGCCTGGCTGACAGTCAAACACCACTGCGTTGGGGCATGCAAGGATGTGGACTGCCGCTCACGGTGTTGGGCACCGCTGTTTGGATGCGGCGGCCACACGAGCAGATGTATTGTGGCACAATGAAATGCGTGAAATACGCGGAGTCACAGCGGCTGCAATAATATCGACGGTGTGGCACCACGGGGAATGTGAGGGGGTGATGCATGATGAATCACAGTGGGCGGCATGCGAGGGAAGTGCACCGCGACGGAGCGTCATCCCGCCCTCAGCCTGCAGGGGAATGTACGCCCACAAAATATATGGTCGAGGCACCACCAAACACACATGCCCTTCCATGCACCAATAAATAGGAGCGAAGGTGCGTTCTGGTGCGTGGGGGTCCACTCACATATTTTTATTTCCACCGCAATAAACGGCGAGGAATCAGGTGCCACAGCAACGAAAGGAAACACAAACATCTACTGCAGCACTTTACCAGCGAAAGGCAGGAACAACACAAATTGAATTGTTGGCTGCACCAACACAAGAAAAAATGCACAAGAGGAAAAAAAAAAAATTGTGTACCTTGCGGAAATTCTTGAAACACACGACCCAGGCATGAAGGTTTGCTCTCTGCGAAAAGAAAAAAACAACACATGCGGACACCTGCCAACATCCAGACAGAAACACAGATAAATGATTGCTTGCATTATTCCATTCCTTGCGCTTGTTTTTGCGTGTGCGGCTGCTGCGGTGGTGGCCGTGCCTGCATTAAGTGGTGTGCGATGAATGTGGACGAAGGCCTACTGCAAATGAACTGCTTGTGGTGAATATTGGCTGCACTTCCCGTGGACCAACAATCCACGTGGTGTGCGGGGATCTCCTTTTTTATTGTTACTTTGCTTTTGTGTTGCTGTGTGCGCTGCACCTTCTTGTGTGTGTGCACACCCTCCGTGAGGGGTGCAGACACGACAGACCGCTCTCGCCGCATGTGCATGCGGTGGAGCCTTGTGTGCCGCTCCTGTTTGCTTCTCCCTCCTCCATCTGTGTGTTGTTGTTGCGGCAGGGCTGTGTGTGTGTGCCTGCTGCCGTGGATTGGAGTGTGTGTCGTGCGTGGTGTGCGGCGTACGGTGCATGCCTGGCTGCTGCCCTCTCCTCATGTGGTGTGCCCTCTGTGTGTGTCTGCTGCACCTCTCGTCTCCCCTGTTGCTCTCCATGTCCCTCACTGTGCAGATCAGCTCCACACCACTGAACGACCACACTCACGATGATGATGACGTGCCGTCTGCTGTGCGCCCTGTTGGTGCTTGCCCTGTGCTGCTGCTGCCCGTCCGTGTGCGTGTCAGAGACCCAGTTGAAGGATACTGGAGCTCGTGTTCAAGAACAAGGGAGCGGTGCGCCGCCTCCTCCACCACAGCCACCAACTGCTAAGCCGGTTGAAGCTATTGTAGGCGCCCCCAGTCAATCGACCCCTGCAACAGGAACACCACCTGTTCCCGGTCAGTCAGATCTTCCAACAACGGGTTCCGTTGCAAAGCTGGGAAATGGTGGCGGAGAGGGACCAGGATCGACCAGTAAGGAAGGTCTGGGACCAAAAGTAAGTACCGAGCCAAATACATCACTGACAAAGGGTACGAAAGAGCAACAAAGTCGCACTGAAACATCCGCAGAACAAACAAATAAGGAGTCTGAAGCCCCTGCTCAGACAACGACGACGACCACCACAACACAGCCACCAACCACGACGACCACCACTACAACAGAGGCACCAAGTACTACGATTACGGAGGCGCCAGCTGTGTCGACCACCAGCGCACCGTCACGTCTTCGCGAAATCGACGGCAGCCTCAGCAGCTCTGCGTGGGTGTGTGCCCCGCTGGTGCTTGCCGCATCCGCGCTGGCGTACACCGCTCTGGGCTGAAGAGGTGTGTGCGGGCTGTGCGTGCCAGCACTCAACCGCGGGGATTTGTGCGCGTGTGTTGTTGTTCACTGTATAAAATAAGAGGAAATAATGATCTTGTTTTGCTTCACTTGCTTCTGCTGCCGTGCTGTGTGCTCCGCGTTGTGCCCCGCATCCGCCACGTTGAACGCATCACGGACACACTCACAAGCATGCGCACTGGAGCCCTGGGTTTGTTTTTCTTTTCTCTTTAATTATTGTTTTTTAATTATTGTTTTTTATTGCTTTTCAAACTTGTGGTTTGCGGTGCGGTGTGCGAGCTCTGCAATCGTAATGATTCCATCTGTCTCGTGGTGTGTGCGCTGCTGCTGGGGTGCTGCCATTTGTTGCTGTGCGTGGTGTAGCGGCCGTGTCTATCTTTCTGCTTCCCTCTCTGTTGACGTGGTGTTGCTTTTGCTGAAGGCCACACGCAAGTGACAGGAGTGGTGGCGATGATGACTGGCCGTGTGCTGCTGGTGTGTGCCCTCTGCGTGCTGTGGCGCGGGTTTTCTTTGGTGTCGGCAGTTACCGGGGATTATCGTGAGCATTCCGGCCAAGGTGTTGTTGGGAGTGTTGGTCAACCTCCTTCCCCAGTTGGGGGTCATGGTGATAATGGAGTTGTCACTGATGGAAGCTCTCTGAGCGGTGGAAGTCACTTGCCGGGTTCTGCTCCTACGGGTGGCAAACCTTCACTTCCCGGTGTTGGTGAGGGTGTGGGTTTAAATGAATCCAAGGATGCCTTAACTCTTGCAAAAGAGGGGCATGAAGTCGTACGGGATCAGCATGAATTAGTGCCTCAAGTTTCGCACCACACTGATGCGGGAACAGGAGGGAAAAGCGATCTCAGTGCGCCAGAACAGTCGCCCAACGCAAAAACAGAATTAGAAAATGGTGGTGGTGTTTGTGGTGATGATGCTGCGACTGCGGAGGGTGAAGTAATAACCACCGTGAATGAAGAACAATTGGGCGGATCTTCCACGAGCGGCAGCCATCCACCAGCAGCAGACCGAGGGGCGAAGGAGCAGGAAGGCACAGTGGAACAAGCAGCATCAACAGCGGCACTGACGCCAGTGGTGGGGCGAGAGACAACACCTAAAGGGGACACCGAAGAGGACTCACCGGAGGATAAAGCCGCAACTGGCGCAGGTATCACACAAGATATACCAGCTGTCAGTCAACAACAAACACATCCTTCATCCACTTCTACAACTGGAAATGGTCCGACTTCTACTCTAGGAAAAGGGCGCGCTGCGGAGGACATTTCCAACAATAACGAACGATCTGGCAAAGCACTACTGCAAGAAGGAGCGGAACATGAAACTGTTGCTGGCAGCCAATCGCAAGCAATACCAGCAGCCACCGCCCGTAACACACTTGGCACAACCGTTTCTGGCGACAGCGACAACAGCACCACGATAACTACAGCCGTGCGGTCTGACACTGGCACAGAAGGCACTCCAACCAGCAATCATCCGAACCGACAATCCATTGAAGGCGCCACGTCACCCGGCATGAATTCCGATGGTGAAGCAGCATCAGCCAAAAACTATGATACGGTACCTCAGAGTGCAGGATCCACAACAGCGCCAACCACAAACAACAAAACACGTGACACAGCTTCTCATGGCGACAGTGACAGCAGCACCGCGGTCTCCCACACCACCTCCCCTCTTTTGCTTCTTCTTCTTGTTGTTGCGTGTGCGGCTGCGGCTGCGGTGGTGGCCGCGTGAGAGTGAGTGTGAGAGAGCCATGCACCGCCCGCACACACTCTTCCTTCTCTCTCTGTGTGTGTGTCCCCTTGCATGGACTCTCGCCCTCACCTCACCCCACGAGGCACACACAATAATGTGCCCATTGTATATATGCATGCACACCCATGCAGGCCCGTTGGTGCTCTCTTTTGCACGACACGCACCGCTGCCGTCCTGCCTGGCTGCATGGACGGAGCACCGTAACTGTTTCTGTTTTGTTTTTATTGCATTGAGTGGGCGACCTCTCTCTCTCCCTCTGTGTGTGTGTTTTGCTTTACGGGAGTAATGAGAGTGTGTGTGCGCTGGTCGTCCCACGCTGCGGCTCTTTGTTTTGTTTTCCTTTTTGATTTTGTGGTTGAGTGCACCCATTCTGCGGCTGCGTGTGTGTGTGTGTGTGTGCGATGATATGAGTAATTTGCGTGTGTGCTATCTGCCTCTCTCTGCCGTTGCTTTCTTCAGACTCTCTTGTGGCGCACAGCTGCTCTGCAAGTATATCCTCTGGCAAAAACACATGCACACACACACGCCATTATGCATACTCTGTAGAGCGGCGTGATTGCTGAGAATGGATGCACGCACAGGATTCTGGTTGCGACGTCCCTGGCGAGGAAGGAGTACGGGAGCCTGCGATTTATTTTTTGACACGCTGCAGGCGTGCAGTCTATTGGTGGTGTGGCTTATGGTGCCAGGGACAAGTGCGGATTGCTTCTTGTCCAGCAGCTGCACGTGCCAATGTGTATCTCCCATGCTGAGTATACTTTGGTCAGGGATTCTTTGCCTGCGTGGGGTGATGTGCGCTGGCGGATGCGCTGGAAGGGTGAACAGTAAAATGACTGGCGAGAGCGCGTGGGCTTTGCAAGGGGCGGTTGTGCTCTTTTGCATTCCGCCAGTTGTTTTGTGTGTTTGTGTTGCTGGGTGTGTGCTGAAGCGTGAATAACAACACACCTGCTGCGGCTAGTGGCAGTCACTGTGTGTTCCCGGTGCACTGTTCTCCTTCTGCTGTTCCGTGTGTCTGTGTGCGTGAGTTTTTGTTGTTGGGAGTGGCTGCGGCGGGGATGATGATGCCACTCACTGTGGATGGGTGACGGTGGTTACTGTTGTACTTCTTTTGTGGACATGTTTTCTCTTTATTTCTTTCCCACCCTCGCAAAGAAGGAAAACAAGCGCGAATCGCCACTGTGAAATTGTAAGGCTCTGAAAGGAACAACAACAACAGCACACACCGCCCACACACACATATTGGTATGCTCTCACGTGTTGCTGCAGTGAAGGCACCCCGCACACACAACCGTCGTCGCGTGACCGGATCCAGCGGAAGGAGGAGGGAAGGAGGAGAGAGTGAGCCGCGGAGGCCCAACATGTCCCGGCGTTTGTTTACTTCCGCGGTGCTCCTCGTCGTGATGATTTTCTGCGGTACTGGTGGAGGTGCACAAGCTGCTGTGGAGGAACCGTCGTCTGATCCGAAGTTTGAATGGGAGGGCATCAGTGAAGGTGAAGGTGATGTAACTGTGGAGTCGTTGGGTGCTCCCGGCCTTTTGAAAGTGGGGAGTGACGTATTTGCCGTTGCCGAGGCGCAGTGCAAGAAGAATGGTGAGGGTGGAGACAACACCTTTACTGGCATTGCATCCCAACTTCTCACGATGGAAACAGGTAAAGAACCGAAGGAAGTGCTGGAGGGTGCCAGGGAGAAAACACAATTTCTGGAGGAAGGCACTTCTCCAGAGGCGAAAAAAGTAGATGTGAGTCGACCAACAGCAGTTGTGAATGGAAGCGATATTTACATGCTTGTTGGAAAACGCAGCTATGAAGCTGCCACTAACTGTCAGGCTGGGACCGAGAAGATCAAATCGGGAATATTGCTGGTGAAGGGTGAGATCAGTGGTGAAGGCGGCAACGAACAAATCCATTGGAGGGAAACTGACGGTCTCCCGTGCACTCTAGGCGACCAACAAAACTCCTTGAAGCGACTGATTGGCGGCGGTGGATCGGGTGTTAAGATGGAGGACGGTACGCTTGTGTTCCCAGTGGAAGGCACGAAGGAGAAGGATGACAACGGAAAGGATGAAAAAACCGTGTCGCTGATCATATCAAAGGATGCAGAGAGTTGGACGCTGTCGAAGGGGATGTCTGACGGTGGCTGCGGTGATCCCTCCGTCGTGAAGTGGAAGAAGGACAAACTCATGATGATGACTGCGTGTGATGGTGGCCGCCGCAGGGTGTACGTGTCCGGTGACAAGGGGGAGTCGTGGACGGAGGCACTCGGGACACTTTCGCGCGTGTGGGGCAAAGAAAAGGAAAATGAGAAGGCCGTTAGGAGCGGGTTCACCACAGCGACTCTTGGCACTGGAGATGATTGGAAAAATGTGATGCTCGTTGCTCTGCCGGTGTATCCCAAAGAAAAAGAAAAGGGCGTACTCCATCTTTGGCTGACGGACAATACGCACATTGTTGATATTGGGCCGATATCCGGGAAGGACGATGACGCTGCCGCCAGCGCCCTGTTGTACAAAAGTGCTGGAAGTGGAACTGATGATAATAATGATGAGTTGATTGCACTGTACGAGAAGAAGGGCAGTGGGGGGAAACCATCAAACAGCCTTTGGTCTGTGGTTCTGACTGAGCAGCTGCAGCGGGTGAAGGATGTGCTGGCGACCTGGAAGGAAGTGGACGAGCATGTCTCCAAGCTGTGCCCTTCTGAGGGTGCTGTGCAGGTTACCCCACCTGACACTGCCTGTAGCCCTACTGTTAAGATCACGGCTGGGCTGGTTGGTTTTTTGTCTGGCAACTTCTCTGATGACACATGGAGGGACGAGTACCTCGGGGTGAACGCCACAGTGAATAATAAAGCTGGGGAAGCGGCGGCAACAGTGGCAACTGAGAATCCCGATGGTGTGACGTTTCGGGGAGCGTGGGCGGAGTGGCCCGTTGGCAAGCAGGGGGAGAATCAGCTGTACCACTTTGCGAACTACAACTTCACTCTTGTGGCGACGGTGTCCATCGACGGTGAGCCGACGAAGGGTAATATTCCAGTGATGGGTGTGAAGATGAATGGCGATGACGAGAATCCAGTACTTCTGGGACTGTCGTACAACAACAAAGAAAAGAAGTGGGAAGTGTTGTGCGGTGGGAAACCGACGGAGGTGCAAAACCACATTGAGGGGCAAGAGAAAACACACCAGGTGGCCATTTTGCTGCAGAACAAAAAACAGGGCTCCGCGTACGTCGATGGTAGGCGTGTGGGCGCGACATGCCAATTGGAAAATAAGGAAGATAGAAAGATCTCCCACTTATACATTGGAGGGGATGGAAGCAACACAGAGGGCCAAGGAGGCGTGTCTGTGACTGTGAGGAACGTCCTGCTGTACAACCGTCCCTTGGATGACAGTGAGATTACTGCGCTTAATGCAATTAAAGTCCCGATTACGCCTCCGAAGGAAACAAATGCGCAGGAAATTGTGTTGCCTTCTCCTGATGGAACACCGCAGGCGGGACAGGAAGCTTTGAATGGAGGTGAAGGTGCTGCCGGTGGAAGTGCATCCCCATCAGCAGTGTCCGCTTCAACGACTTCCTCGGGAAGTGGGCAATCTGTGAACCAACTCGCGCCAGGAAAGCCTCCCGATGGAAATGCAGATGTGGATGGCGCTCCCTCGTCTGACGCTGACCCAACGGTGGGGGAGGGGAGTGCAGATACGATACAGGGGGATGGACCGCACACACCTTCCGTGGGTAATACCGCCGCCGCCGCCGATACAAACGTTCTTACCGCTAAAGGCGAGGGGCACGATGGACCCGCATTGACACCTGATTTGAGCGTGAGCCCTGGTGCGGATGGGGAGACGGCAGGAGGAACGGATGCGCGGGAGGAGGAAATCCATCCGCAGGACAGGGAAGTAAAGTCTGCGGCACTCAGCAGCAGTCTGGGAAATTTGTCGCAGGGGAATAACAGCGATGCCGGCACTGTGCGTGAGAGGAGGGTGCCATCGCTGCCATCGCTTCTTCTGTTGGGACTGTGGGGATTTGCGGCTCTGTGAGGCGTGACTGGCTGCCGCGTAGGACAATTCCGACCTCCCCAGCAGAGAAATACTATTCCCATGGGAACAAATTTCACTCATAAATCATTTTTTTTGCCTATTTTAAAATCCTTTTACTGTTTGCTACTTTTTGGTTGATTTTACTTTTTTTTTCCCTGATCTCTCATTCCTTTGCTTTTTTTTTTTTTTTTTGCTTTTGGGGCAGTCACTATGGACGTGTTTTCTTTTCTACTCTTCCCTCTTTAATTGTTTGTTGCTGCACTCTTCCTGTGAGGGGTGCCGTGTGTTTGCCGCCCAACTGCTCCACTCGCACACCACCGACACGCTCATGACGACGGCCCTGTGCGCCTCGCCTGCTGCACGCATGAGGAGGGGCCGCGACGAACGGCGCGCTGAGGGAGCCGTGACGTGTGGGCGTGCGACGAGGGCCTGTGGGGCGGAGCACACATTTCTTCCCTCTTGTTTTGTTTTCTTTGCGGCCAGGGCGGGCAGACACCCGCAGCACCACACACACAGCCACACCCTGCCGCCGTGTTTTTCTTTTTTTTTGCTGCGCTCACTCTCCCGATTGAGTGACGCGACTGCCGTCGTGTCTGCGTGCTTCTCTCAGTCCCCACACACACGAGTGACTGTGCTCTGCGGGCCGCACTCACGCGCCGATGGGAGGGCTGAGGGGAGCAGCAACACGCAGATGACCCCATGAAATATAAACGATGTGCGGACACATGGAGGGTCGGAGGGTTCAAAGGCATTTAAATATCTTTTAGTTTTTGGACAAAATGTACGCAGACGGTTTGGTGTGGCCACACGGCAGCCGGCTGCTTTTTAAATGTTATTTGTGTGGGACAGTAATGGACGATTTCTTTTCTTTTATTTATAATTATTTTGTGTGATGGGGTTTGTATAAGACGGAGGGGAACGTTCTTTTTTGTTTTAAATAAGTCTTGTGTGAATTGCCGCTGCTCGGACTGCAGTGCAATCATGAGTTTGAGCGGTCTTCTAGTTGTTGTTTCCGCCATGCATCTCTGCTGTACATTTTTGTGCGTCTCTCCGCATACTCCGCTCCCTCTTTTCTACTTCTTTGCTTTGTGTTTCTGCAGGCACATACGACCACGCACAAAAGATGCACATTGCAGTGGATTTGGATGCTTCTTTTGTGGTGCATGCTGGCAGTTGCGTGTGGCGGCTATTTGTTCTTCCGTGGCCATAAGGAGAAGGGAGGAGAGGGGAGCGCAGCCCGAGTCTATTTTCCAGCGGGTGTGATGCACTGCGTGTGACTACGTTGAGTTGGGCTCCAAATCCCATTGAGGGCAGGATGGTTGTAGGTTTTTGTGCCGCGTCATGGATGGATGAGGGTTTGCTTCCGCTTCTGCCTCGTGTGGTGGTGCTCGCTCCGTGTGCGTGACGGCTGCTGGGATTCCTGGAGATGTATCTGGTGCTGCGGATGCGGTGGTTGTGCCGGTGGATGTGTCGTGTGCTCCGAGTGACGGCAGCCTGAGATATCGCGTGTGTGTGTGTGTGTGTGGGCGTGGAAGAAGTGTTCCGCTGCCAGTGCTGAGGCTCAGTAGGAGAATTGTACTTTCAGTGGCTTTGATGTGCGCATGCATAGCAGGAATGGTGAGCTGGGTGCTGTGTGTCATGTGGCCAATGCGGTGCACACATGTAGCAACTGTGCTGCCAGCTGTGCAAGGAAAGAGGAAGGGGCCACCGTTGCCTTCACGATGAATGTGACGACGCATAAATACGCCGGCCCTTATGAATTGTGGTGGCGTCGATTTTCCCCGATGGAACCATCCATCCGCCTGCACGGAGCAGCGATGCTGACCGGACGGGCATCTGTCGGTTGCCGCCACCCCGTGAAGGGAAGGATGACACAAAATATGGTGGGGCAACTGCGCCGCAAGTTAATGCTGAGCCGTCACGTCAAAACGAGGATTGGCGACAGTCTGCGGCGGCTGACAGACCCAACACCGTCGATCGGAGTCCCGCATGCAACACGGCGACCAACACGTCCGAGACGAGGCCTGAGTTTGCCTTTGTTCGGAACATAAAAGTGGCTCCAACACCACCCAAGAGGAAGCCCAGCATTGCCATGAGTCGGAACATAGAAATGGATCTGAATGCATCCGTGACGAAGACTGCGCTCGCCACCGCGTTGAGGAAGGCAGTGGGCTCGAGGGATGCTCGCAAGAGTGAGGCCGTTGACGGCAGCGGCGAGCACGTTCCTGGGAAAATTGCGGGAGGAATGAATGGTCAGAACGTCCCCGGAAGAACAAAACGGCATCAAGAAATGTGTCCTTGCGCGATCTGGAGCGGCGTGAGTCCAGACGGCCGCCTCGCCCTGTTTGACGACGTGGAGTTGATACCACGCGATTCAACTGGCGGCCGCACTGCGCGTGTGTGCGTGTCTCTGGCGTTGCTGCTGCTGCTGGAACTGTGTGGAGTTGTGGTAGTCTTTCGAGCGAAAGAGGGTGGGATTGTGACTCCCCACGGGGGATATTTGCCGCATACTTTGCGGTTTTTATGTCACTTTTTCTTCTCCTCTTTTTTAATGATTTACGGATCGCTTTTTAAACCTTTTTTTCTTCTTTGTAATGCTCTTTTTGATGCTTTCCCACTGGAGTAATAAGTGCCCTTTTTTCTTCTCATTATTTAATGTTCGGTTGATGTGCACTGGAATGGGCGACGTGTTTTCTCTCTTGTGTGTTTGTTTTTTGTTGTTGCCCACACGCGGTGCCGGCTCCGCTGCTGTGCTTCCCACGGACTGCAGGAACGGGGATTGGATGAAGAGGCCGGATGCCGCGTGAAATGTGAGGGATGTTGTGTGGGCTGGTGGAGTAATAAGATTTTTTTCTTTTTTTTATTACATTTTTTACTTGTGCAGGTAATATTTATGCGCACATGATCGTCTTGTGCTGCATGGCACACGAAATGGAAGTCCTACTGATTCATTCTTTTTTCTTTTTTAAAAAATCCCTGCGGACTTCTTTTTGTCCGTGCCGTGTCCACTGTCACTGTGTGCCCCCGTGTGTCGTTGGGTGTCCCTCTGCTGGCTGTGTTTCTGAGCTGCCCTCATATCTTTTTCTTCTTTTCTGCTAGAGGCGCCGATGGTTTGCGACGACGGTTGTTTGTGCTACCCATTGCGATGGCACGAGGGTGACTGGGCGCCGGCCTCCTGAGTGCCCTCGGAGGGAGAAGATGGTGTGCGCCGTGCCTCACTGTGAGTGTGGGACGCCACTAGCCGTGCGGAGAGAAGTAAATGGCTGTGCGGTATGTTCTTGGATGCACCCCGTCGCTCTCGTTGCCGCCGTGTGTGTGCTGAGCGCATGGCAGTATCTTGCGGTGCAAAGTGGATGGCATTGCTTCCGCGTGTGCCCTCGTGCATGCGCTGTGCGGCGGGCATCTCTTCCCCATGACACCGCCCTTTTGTGTGGGACAGTGGAGGGAAGTGGAGATGTGTGAGGGAGTGAGGGTGGCCGTTGTTTCCCCACATTTGCTTCTTCCACACACGTGGCGCCTCTCGGCAGCCTCTCGCAGCACCCAGGCCGTGGATTGAGAGAATGTGAGGGTCTGCTCCAAGTACACGGAGGACGACAAGATGCAGTTCATGACGGCCAACCTGATCGGCCTGTGGTTGCAGCGCATGGAGCACGTGCGCCTGCACACGTTGGGTGTTGCGTTCATGATTGGGGAGGAGAGGCGGCACGACACTGTGGCGCTGTGGGTGTTGCGCGGCCGGGGCATGCCGACGATTGTGAGGGACGTGGAGGACACGGAGCTGTTCGACTGGGAGGAGGTGACGGACTTTGCGGCGCAGTGGGAGCGCATGACGGACTGCGTGTGCTGGAGGGGCGCGTGTTGGAGTGAGCGTGGCGTGCCTGTGAGGGCCTGAGGAGAGGGAATAACAGTAACAGTGACTGTGAGAGTGCGAGGAACAGGGCACTGGCGAGGAGCACTTCTTTTTTTGATTGTTGTTGAACCGCGCTCACCTAATTGTTGTGGTGGTGCGTGACCCTCATTGCTGGATGGGACGGTGCGTGGCTGTGGGAATTGTCTCCTTTTGCTTTTGCTCTGCGTTGACGGGGAGTTACTTTTGCTGAAGGCTGCAGGCAAGTGACAGGAGTGATGGCGATGATGACTGGCCGTGTGCTGCTGGTGTGTGTCCTCTGCGTGCTGTGGTGCAGCGTTTCGGTGGCCAATGGTGATGAGTCTGATGAGAATGTGGATTTTTCTTCTGGGAGGTCCGAAGCCCCACAAGGTGGATCATCTGAAGTTATGGATGGAAGAGAAGGTTTGGATCACAAGTCCTGCTCCGTGGAGCCGGGGTCGGAAGGAAATACCGCGGAATGTACGAAGGCGAGGACAAACGACACAGATGCCATTTCTACCGATCCGTCATTGCCGTCACACAAGTCCAGTGACCCAAATCCCCAAACAGGCCTACAGCCTCCTGCTCCACCTACCGGTGCTGGTCAGAGTCATCAAACCAACCCGGTGCAAGATGCAGGAGTCACGCGGCAAGTACGGCAAGATGTTGAAGAAGTAAAAACAAAAAAAGGACTTGAAGAGCAGAACAAACAGAAAAACAAAGAAAGTCACGAAAAACAATCGTCACGTGAAGACGCTTCAGTAATAAAAGGAAATCAACTTGTAGGACAAGAAGCAGCGCTACAAGGAGACCCAGCGCAGCAGGAAAGAAAGCAACAGGAAGTAGAGCCAGGACAACCACAACACGAGACCGACGTACAGCACAGAGGATTATCCCAGCATGACCAACAACTTCAAGGCCATGAAGAAGTACAGGAAAAACGACGCCGGGGGGAAGAACAACCGCAACTACAAAAAGCACAAAAATAAAAGGTGCCGACTGCTTCAACGACAGAGCCAAAGTCAACGCCACAGTCACCGCCACCTGTAAAACCACGGGGCATGCAACAGGAGGGATCCGCCGCCAGTTCATCAGATCCATTGAAAAGGGAAATTCCCTCGGTTTTAACAAAAAGTAAATCAAATGAAACCATTGACCCACCGTTGCCACAATCTTCTGCAGGAGAAGGTGGTGCTGCTGCCGCACTTGGGGCAGACGAGGAAGACGCGAACATTCGAAAAGATGCCGAATTTCCTGAATCGGCAGCTACAGAAGAAGACCACCCCCATAAACATTCCCTCAAAAACGACGGAGAAGCAAAGAAAGAGAAGACCGCCTTTGGTCCAAATAACACGGCAAATAAAAATGACGGTTACAGCGACGGCAGCACCGCGGTCTCCCACACCACCTCCCCTCTTTTGCCTCTTCTTTTTCTTGTTGCTGCTGCTGCGGTGGTGGCCGCGTGAGAGTGAGGGAGAGAGAGCCGTGCACCGCCCGCACACACACTCTTCCTTCTCTCTCTGTGTGTGTGTCCCCTTGCATGGACTCTCGCCCTCACCTCACCCCACGAAGCACACACAATAATGTGCCCATTGTATATATGCATGCACACCCATGCATGCCCGTTGGTGCTCTCTTTTGCACGACACGCACCGCTGCCGTCCTGCCTGGCTGCATGGGCGGAGCACCGTAACTGTTTCTGTTTTGTTTTTATTGCATTGAGTGGGCGACCTCTCTCTCTCTCCCTCTGTGTGTGTGTTTTGCTTTACGGGAGCAATGAGAGTGTGTGTGCGCTGGTCGTCCCACGCTGCGGCTTTTTGTTTTATTGTTTTACGTGTGGTGTGGTTGAGTGCACCCATTCCATTGCCCCTTATTTGATTTGTGGCTTGCTTTGACGGTGGACGCCTAAATTGTTTGCTTTTTGTGTATTATTATACTGTTCCTTTATTATTGAGAGAGTGTCAGCCTCTTGTATTCTTGTAACGCCACTGAGTTTTTTTTCTTTTACGTACGCCATGCGTCATTTGATTCACGCCACTCTGCGGCCTGCATTGCTTTTGGTTCTGCTTGTGATGATGTTTGTGCTGTGATTTGTCGGCGGGTGTCTTGCTGTCAGTCTGACGCATCCTTCGTTCCTTGACGATTTGTTGAGTACTGACGGTGCGTGGGCGTCTCTGGTGATAGTGAGGGCCGCATGTCTCAGAGCGCAGGATGCGTCGCGGGTGTGCGGCGTCGTTTGGAAGTACCGATGGGTGACCATCCGCGTCCAGGCGTCATCAACGGACTGTGAGGGCAGCAGGAGGCACTGCGGCTTCTTTTGGCTTTGCGCAAAGAGTTTATTGGACGGTGCGTTTGTTTTCAATCTTTGCAGTTTTTGTGGGGAAGGTGGGAGGCTGAGTGCATTGGGACTGAATTCATTTGGGTGGCTGCGTTCCGTTGACTTGCGGCCAGTCGTGGCACTCTTTTGGGGTTTGGCGGCTCGTCTCTTTTGTTTACTTCCCACCGCAGCAGGTGGAGGACACTGATCCGAGGGACATTTATTTGACTGCGTGTGAGCCGCTGCCGTGCGTGGTGCATGGACTATTTGATTGTGTGGGGAGGTGCATTGGAGTGACGAATACTTCTGTTTGGCGTGTCGCGGTGTGTTGGAATGATGTTTGGAAGACTTGTGAAGGGTGTTGTTTGTGATTTGTGTGTCTTCTCTGGTGGAGCCGACATGTGTGCGGGGATTGTGGCATTGCTGGCTGACAGCTCCACGTCAATTTTCAGCATTCCTGGATGTGCTGAGGAATGACGGCTGGCGACCAGCGTGTTGGTGCTGCCGGTGGGAATAAGTGCATCGGGAATAGGCCACTTTCTCTTTTCCGTGCTGGAGCCGACGAACTGGCACGAGTGCACCGGCTGCAGGCTGCCTGCCAGCACGTGTGAGCAGCGGATGCACGCACACACCGACGCTCATCGCAAGGGCTTGTGCGATCACGGTGGCTTTTGTGGCGTGCTTTTGTGGACGTCATTCCGTCGAAGAATGTGTGAAGCAAACGGCTGACTGCACACGAGGAAAATAAGTGCGTGCACTGTGCCGTGTTTCAGCGTCTATGGCAGAGCGGCATGAAGCCCGTGCTGGCAACTGAGATCTTTGCGTGGCGAGGGATGTCAGTGTTGATTTTGGATTGTCGAGGGTGAAGTGATTTTGCTGCTGCCCGTGTGTGTGGCCACTCCGGCGGAGGGCGGACACAACAGGGAGGGATGCAGGCGCTGCGTGTGTGTGCAGGTGCCATGCAACAACGTCACAACAAACATGCTGCGACTCGGTGACCCTCACATCGTTGTGGTCCTAACGAACAGCCGAGGCACGGCCCACACCGACGCACTTAGTGGACGGAGTGAGGCATCTTTGAGGCGCTGCAGGGAGCAGGATGTGTTGACGCAGCCACGACGTGCATGGAGTGTCACGATGGCACAGTGAGCTGTGGCTGGTGGAATAATTACTTCTCGGAGCCAACAGAGAGAGAGAGCTGCTCCTGCTGCTGGCGTCGTTGCTGCCTCTTGTGGCCTCCCATGCCGATTATTGTCTGTCCGCTGATCATGGGCAGCATGCCTCCACTAGTGACGTCGTCTGCAGGCATTCCACAGCACCAGTGAAACACACATCACGTCGCATGCGTTGGCTGTGGACATGGTGTCTTGAATGCAGCCGGCATTATTTTGCCCGACTCCTTTTCACTGCCTTGCGACGAATAGATGCGTCTCCGCCCGAGTCATTCACTGCAGCTCCGTGTGTTGTGCTGCCAGCACAAGACTCTCCTGTTGTCTGGCGCCTGGCTGACAGTCAAGCACCACTGCGTTGGGACATGCAAGGATGTGGACTGCCGCTCACGGTGTTGGGCACCGCTGTTTGGATGCGGCGGCCACACGAGCGGATGTATTGTGGCACAATCAAATGCGTGAATTACGCGGAGTCACAGCGGCTGCAATAATATCAACGGTGTGGCACCACGGGGAATGTGAGGGGGTGATGCATGATGAATCACAGTGGGCGGCATGCGAGGGAAGTGCACCGCGACGGAGCGTCATCCCGCCCCCAGCCTGCAGGGGAATGTACGCCCACAAAATATATGGCCGAGGCACCACCAAACACACATGCCCTTCCATGCACCAATAAATAGGAGCGAAGGTGCGTTCTGGTGCGTGGGAGTCCACTCACATATTTTTATTTCCACCGCAATAAACGGTGAGGAATCGGGTGCCACAGCAACGAAAGGAAACACAAACATCTATTGCAGCACTTTACCAGCGAAAGGCAGGAACAACACACACCGAATTCTTGGCTGCACCAACACAAGAAACATTCACAAGTGGGAAAACAAATAATTGTGCACCCTGCGGAAATTCTTGAAACACACGACCCAGGCATGAAGGTTTGTCCTCTGCAAAAATGAAAAAAAGCATGAAATCATCTGCCAACATCCAAACAGAAACAGAAATAAATGATTGCTTGCATTATTCCATTCCTTGCGCTTATTTTTTCGTGTGCGGCTGCTGCGGTGGTGGCCGGACCTCCATGAACTTGAGTGCGATGAATGTGGACGAAGGCCCACTGCAACTGAACTGTTTTTGTGGTGAATATTGGCTGCACTTCCCGTGGACCAACAATCCACGTGGTGTGCGGGGATCTCCTTTTTTATTGTTACTTTGCTTTTGTGTTGCTTTGTGCGCTGCACCTTCTTGTGTGTGTGTGCGCACCCTCCGTGAGGGGCGCCGACACGACGGACCGCTCTCGCCGTATGTACATGCGGTGGAGCCTTGTGTGCCGCTCCTGTTTGCTTCTCCCTCTTCCATCTGTGTGTGTTGTTGTTGCGGCAGGGCTGTGTGTGTGTGCCTGCTGCCGTGGATTGGAGTGTGTGTCGTGCGTGGTGTGCGGCGTACGGTGCATGCCTGGTTGCTGCCCTCTCCTCATGTGGTGTGCCCTCTGTGTGTGTCTGCTGCACCTCTCGTCTCCCCTGTTGCTCTCCATGTCCCTCACTGTGCAGATCAGCTCCACACCACTGAACGACCACACTCACGATGATGATGATGTGCCGTCTGCTGTGCGCCCTGTTGGCGCTTGCCCTGTGCTGCTGCCCGTCCATGTGCGTGTCAGAGGAAGCTGCCGCTCAGTATGGGCCTGAAGCCGCCCCCGTTACACCTCCCAATTCTCCATCAACGACGGCCGGTCAGCCAGGGCCGCCAAGTACGGGTTCCGTTTCGGATGAGGAAAACATTGACGGAAAAGTACCAGGGGTGACCGCTGGGGAACCGCAGTCAAATGTGGTGCCCAAAACGTTACAGGAAGAAGGCAAGGACGGTACGACGGAAAGACAAAGTGGCACTAATACATCCGCAGATAAAGCAGACCAGGAGGTCAAGGATGCTGCCCAGACGACCACTACGACCACAACAAAGGCACCAACCACGACCACCACCACTACAACAGAGGCACCCAGCACTACGACTACGGAGGCGCCAACTACGACGACCACCCGCGCACCGTCACGTCTTCGCGAAATGGACGGCAGCCTCAGCAGCTCTGCGTGGGTGTGTGCCCCGCTGCTGCTTGCCGCATCCGCGCTGGCGTACACCGCTCTGGGCTGAAGAGGTGTGTGCGGACTGTGCGTGCCAGCACTCAACCGCGGGGATTTGTGTGCGTGTGTGTTGTGGTCCACTGTATAAATAAGAGGAAATAATGATCTTGTTTTGCTTCACTTGCTTCTGCTGCCGTGCTGTGTGCTCCGCGTTGTGCCCCGCATCCGCCACGTTGAACGCATCGCGGACACACTCATAAGCATGCGCACTGGAGCCCTGGGTTTGTTTTCTTTTTTAATTATTGTTTTTTATTGCTTTTTAAACTTGTGGTTTGCGGTGCGGTGTGCGAGCTCTGCAATCGTACTGATTCCATCTGTCTCGTGGTGTGTGCGCTGCTGCTGGGGTGCTGCCATTTGTTGCTGTGCGGTGGCTGTGCGTGGTGTAGCGGCTGTGTCTCTCCTTTTGTTTTTCTCGTGCTATCGCAGGTTGGCTTTGCAGCGTTAGGCGACTCCGCTGTTTGTGATGATGACTGGCCGTGTGCTCTGCGTCCTGTTGGCTCCTGCAGTGATGCGCAGCTGCTCGTGCGTGTGCGTGAGGGCTGCTGCGACGGGGTGCGTGTGCTGCCCGCGGGTGATGGCGCGGTGACTGCTGGGCACGCGCGGGGTGTGATGGCTGCGGAAGGTGGACCCGTGGCCGGTGGCTCTGGACGAAAGGGGAATGTGAACTCTGAGGACAATAGCAATCAGGAAGACGAGGAGGGTGGAGGAAGCACCGCGGGTGAGGACCCCAATCCCACCTCGGGAGGACCACTCACTGCTCCGACGAGGCAGGACCAATCCAGCAGCGACCCACTGCGAAGTGGCACTTGCAATCCGTCCGGCACTGGCAGCGCGTCTGCTGCTCGGATGCGTGCAAGTGGACCGGAGTCTTTGGGCGGAGGGCACGCTGCAGGCACAACATCCCCACGCTCCGACGCGTCTCAGCAGGCAGCGGGTGGAGTGCATGCTGGTGGCGGGAGGACCTCCCAGGGCAGTCGGGCTTCGGAACAAACCGTCACGGGACAGTCACAGGTGCCAGGGACGGCGAAGGAAGAACCGCAGGGCGATGAAGGAGGAGAACCCGGAGCGCAACACGAGGCCGACCAAACCACAAAAATGACTGTGGTGGCCTCTTGCGCGAAAACAGCGGTGGAAGAGGAGAGCCGCCAGCGGGATCGCAAGATGCACCACGTCTCTACAGTGGCGGGAATGCCCATTATTATTATTTTTCCCTGCTCTTACCGACATGTCTAGCCACACGATGTCACCAGGGTGACGAGGGGATGGTCGAGCAGCGACATGAGTTTCCTGCTATGAGGCAGCTGCCATTGGGAGAAGCTTTCGGTGCGAAGGTCCTTCTTAATGCCCAGCCGTTGGCGCACAGCCAGAGCGTCTGTACATTCCGGAAGCAGTTGGTGCAGTGTTTTCTGCGGGCTAATTGTTGCGCTTGTGGAGGCTGGCTGATCCTGCGGTAGCAGTGATTGCCTCCTGGCACTGCTGCTGCGGTGCCGAGTGGCGTCTGGGTTGTGTGCGCAGCGATTTCTGTGCTGTGCGGTGCTTTTTTGTGTGGGGAAGACCGTGTCGCAGCAATCGCGGTGGAGGTCGGGAAGCGGTGGAGGGCGTTCCGGATGAAAGCACCGACAGTGACCGATGTGGTTCGTGTGTCCCACCAGTGTGGCGTCACAGTGCGGGCATTTCTTCTTTCGACGCTGTGTGGAGGGCCGTCTCTCCACAGGCGGTGCGTCGGCCTCCCTTGTTGTCGGGGGAACAGCTTCCGTCCCGGTGTGGTGGGATCGTCGTTGGAGCGCATGAAAGCGGAGTGTTCCGGTGATATGTTGCGGAAACGGCATTGGTTCGTGCAGTCTCTCGCAGTCCAGTACAGGCGACCCCAGAGCTCAGATTCCCCGCACCCTTCCCGTGCAGTGTTTGTCCGTTCCTGTTGGTCGAGGGCTTCCTGAGTGATCAGGTGCTTGCCGCCTGGATCTGATGGCCTGGCGCCGCCAAGCACGTAGTGGTGGGTGTCCTGATGCATGGTACTACGCCACTTGTTGGTGAGCTGGGTGTTAATGCATGACAGCAGGTCCGTGTGCCGTATGGGTGCTATTCCATGCTCCGTGTGTTGCCCGGTTGCCGTGGTCTGCGTCGCATGCTGATCTGCAGGCTCGTTAGCATGTACTCCGCAATGTCCGTAGCAAAACTGCAGGTGCACGGACCAGCCGGCACGCGTCAGCGACAAGAGAGGCTGCCAGATCCGATCCTCCGTCCAGTCGGTATGACTGTGCGGGCCCTTGGTGACGGCGGCTAGAAGAGAGTGACTGTCTGTAACCACAAGCAGGGTTTTTGTCTGTGCTGGATACGATGGACACTCAGCCTTTCCATGGCCGGGAGCAGTGCACGGGACTCCGTCGTGCGGCTGCATGGGCGTGTGCCGCCGTTGGTACTGACCTTCTCTATTATCTCCGAGGAATGCAGGGATGAGAGCAGTATGCCAATCCCGGCTGACTTGGGAATGCCGACACCGCTATTCTTCGTAATTATCCACGGTCCCCAGCGATGATGTTGCACCTTGTCGCGGTGCTGGGCTCTGGTTGCGTATAGGAACTCCGCAGCAGGGCGTTGCTGCGAGCACGACGGAGACCAAGGTGACTTCACCCCCCGAGAAGGTTCCACGCCATGCCCGGTGTGGGGAGGTGAGGCGGTCTGCCTGCAGACTGTCGGTCAGAACTGCACGACCGTTTCGCAGCGGTCACTCCGTTGATATCACCCGTGGCGGTGACGTTCACAAGAACCCTGGCCCGAGGAGGATGGCTACATCACTGTTTGGCGGCCTAACATTGCAGGCCTCTCGTCCGTAAAAATATTGCATTTGCTGCGCGATTGGAGCAGCGTCCACCTGACATCGTTCTTCTGCAGGAAATAAGTAACCGTGGTGGCGTGGCGACGAAATTATGTGGCCATAATGACTGCCTTCGGGCCTCACTGGGCGCGGTGGTGGTGTTGCCGTTCTTGTGCGCCACTCTCCACCGTGCGAGCGCCTGTCGCTCCCTGGCACTGACCTCCTGGAGACCATTGCTCTCCGTGTATTTCCGCCGGGCTGTCGCAGCATTTGCGTGGCGAATCTCTACAACCCTCCCACAGCAATTGGCCAATAATCCGCATTTATCAATATCGTTTGTCGCTTGTGCCCGAAGAGATTATCGCGGGTGACCCGAATTTACATCGTGAACTCTGGGACAGTCATATGCACCATCAAGGACTGGAGGCGATGATTTCGCCGCTGTTCTAATCGATATGGATTTTGGGCTGGCAAATTACCCGACACAGGCAACACGGATCACACATCGTAATGCCTCGTCCCCTGACGTGACTGCGTATTGCGCCCTACGCATCTCCCACTGGACATTCGCCCCTTACATGGACTCGGACCACTGCTGAATATCTTACTTGGTAGAGATGGACGATGGCACTCCACGACTAGCAAACACGCTGCCTTGACGGAAGAAAGCCACCTTTGCCCTGCGTAAAGCGGATTGGCCTGCTTTTACATCGTTGTGTGAAACTCTCCTTGCCACCGCGTCCACATGGTTGGATCCTCGCGGAGGCATCTTACGAGCAGCTGAGCGCCACATCCCGCGCGGCAGCCGTGACAGCTCCAAAAAGATATGGACACACGAAATGGAACAGGCCGAGTCCGCCGCCGAAGCAGCACACGAAGCACACACATTGCCTCACCCGGAGACAGCCTACTTTGAGCCGAATGTACCCGGAAAAAGGAAGGAACGAAATCAAGCCTTACGCCGTTGCTCCGCTGTGCCTCTGGAGGCCCGCGCGAAAAGACTTGGAGCCTCACCCAGCCCGAGGTGGCGATATCTTCACGGCGTGGCGGCGCCGCACCCTCATCCTCTGGAATCGGTTGTGCTCCGCACTGAACTTGGCCGCGTATGCGCCCTGCCTCGGCAACAGGCAAATCTGCTTGTCCGTCATTTTGTGCGGTTTCACGTGCCATACCGCCTTACACTGCTGCTGCTGCTCGCTGCACTCCTTTGGTTCCTGGTGGCTGGGAAATGGATCGGCCTTTCCCGCCGTATGTACTTGACGTGACCATCCGCGGCTCTTTGCTTGGCTCAGCCCCTGGCCCCGGCGACATGTTGAATGAATTCCTGCACCGTCTCGGGCCCGTCGCGCATGGCACACTTAGAACGATGATCCACAACTCCTTCGCAAACGGCAGCCTGCCTGGCTCCTGGAAAATGGGAGACGCTATTTCTATCCCCAAGCCTGGGAAGGATCCATGCTGCCCAGAGAGTTACAGACCTATCACGCTGCTCTCTGTTTTACCAAAGTTAGCCGAAGGAATGATTCACCGCCGTCTGTCAGCGTTATTGCCGCACCACCCACGTCAATTTCGGATTTGCACCTCCGCGTTCTACGTCGGACGTGGTGGCACTTGTTGTCGACAAATTACTCGTGGACTGAATGAGTTTGGCATTGTGGAGCATGAGCGTCCTGGAGACGACGCCCCACACGACGCCCTCGTCGCCATCGCTCGTAGTTTTGATTGATTTTCCGACTGCGTTCAACACCACTGACCATGGGAATTTATTCTGCATGCTTGACAGACTTCCGCGCCTTGGCCTCGAACCAAACGCTGGCTGCACAACTACCTGCGGGGCCGCTATGTTGGGGTATGCACTCGTGAACAGCACTCCCGGAAACAACTCGCCTCAGCTGGAGCACCGCAAGGCGGCGTCCCGGGACCCCAACTCTTCCTCTACTGTGTGGATGGTCTGCTGCGCCGCCTGGGCAGCATCTATTCTGCCTCCGCATTCATGTACGCTGACGAACACACACTTGTTGCCTCAGGTGCGGACATCCATGCCTGTGCTGCGGCAATGCGACCGCTCTTGTCTCTTGTGGCCACATGGGCTGCCGAGCACAGCCTAAAAATCTACGTCGCTAAGAGCGCAGCTGCTCTATTCTACATCTCTTCACACACACACGGTCTGACGAGGACATGGTCGATCTCCATCT